ATATTTGGTAACTGATGTATAGAGTAAGTATACATCAAAGAAATTTTACAGTGCAAGAGCCATTTGATCCAGGATTGAAAGATGGCATGAAACAGGGGAAGAAAAATGAAGAAATGTGGGTGTGGGAACTGGAGGTGGAAAGCACAAACAAGCAGAGATGAAAAGGCAGCACAAGGACACATGGTGTGCTGTGGAGCTACAAGCGTTCTGTTATAACTGGAATGTAAAGTTCAAGGAGAAATTCCTGGTAGATGAGATTGGATTGGTAAGCAAATGTCAGATCCCTATAGCAATAAAATATTTTTATATTTGTTGTAACACCTACTCAGAGACAGATGCCAGGCTAAGCAATGAGGGGGACACTAATTTACACAACAGGTGAATGATATAATCAGACTTTGGTTGCAAGAATCACTGTGAGATGGGATAAAATAAATCTCAAGATTCAAGAGACTAGTCAGGATATTGTAATAAAAGTTTCAATAATAGCATGGCCAAGAAAAACATCTTGTTTAATTTTCCGAAAGGGCCTCTTTCCCCTTTGTCTTTCCCACTCCCTGACAAACCTAATTTATTCTCCTTTTCACTCCTACCAGGGGACCTTCTCCAAACACGTAGATGAGATTAGGTCCTAATTTATACATTGATGTGCCATCCCGCCTGTTTCTTCATAGCAATTACACTAACTGCAATTAACTACCTTTGTAATTATTTGTTCAGCATCCATCAACCATTAGCTGGTTGACATCCCAATGACAGGGATGGTATTTATCTTGCTTAGCAGAGTTTTAGTTCATTGCAGGTGTGCTATCCTTATATTTGTGTAAATATGCAATTGGTAGGTAACATAATATTAAATAAAAGAAGTTGAATGAGAGAAATATGAAAAAGCTAAGATGGAAACAGCTTAGTTCATGAACAGAAGAGGAAAATAAGAGAGAGAGAGAGAGAGAGAGAGAGAGAGAGAGAGAGAGAGAGAGAGAGAGAGAATCTGAGTTGAATCCCATGCTTCTAGTTTGGATAATTGATACAAATTATGACTAAAGTGTGGGGTGAGATTATGACTTAAATTCAAATGATGTAATAATTAATTGGATTATAGCTCATTGGATTAAGTTTTGTTTTTTTAAAGATTTATTCACATTTAATCTCATTCTAGTGTGTTTTCAAAAATTTTAATCTAGAATATTGCTGTAGATTAACACATATAATTTGGGTTGATTCTACTTAGTTTCAGGTTCAGAAGACTATTTCTCTCTATTTTGTACTCAGATTTCTGGCATTTATTTAATATCAATACAAGAATTGTTATTCTTTTGGAGTTACAATGATTTTTAATTTTCTAATCATGAAATTAAAGACTTGGAGAAGTTGAAGCATAGCTTATCTTTGCCGTGAGACCTACTTTTGGTTCTGGTTTGTGGTTAGATGTGAAATAAAAATAGAAATAGAAAGCAAATCTATAATTATGTTGAAGCTTAAACCTCCAAATATGTAAAACCTTCATGTCAGTTAAAGGAAAATCTCTAAAAGCAGCAGAAAAGTTTTTGACATCAAAACTGTCATGCAATTATCTTATCATTTATTCCTTGTATTTAAATAAAGTTTTATCTATTCCTTTCTAGTCACACACAGAGAAAAGGAAAAAGACAAAGAAAAAACAAAAGAAAAGGAAAAACCTGAAAAGAAAGGTATGCAGACATTCTTTTTTGCTGTTGTTAACATTAAACCTTTTTATTTTGAATTCCCTTTCTTACATTCAAATTTTAGCTGACCTTGCATTTCTTCTTTTTCAATTTATATTATGATTATTTCCTTGGAACAGATTCTGAAGGGATGAATTTCTGGATTGAAAGGGACTAAGTCCCTAATGCTCTTCAATTCCCCATACCACTTGACGTTTCAGAAATGCCATGTCAAACCCCCCAACCCCAGCCAGCAGTTTTTAAGCTGCATTAGCCAGCAGTGAGAATATTTTCCCAGAAAATACTTATCAATTTTATAGATAAGACAGTAGATCCTATATTTTAATGATATTAATATATTTTTATTACTATTAGACTGTACTTTTTTTGTTAGTTTTTATTTATTTATTTAGAATAGATAATCCGCACAACATGTCTGCTTGGCACATAAACTTGCTCTGTGAAAACCTTCCCTCACCCCTGCCATCCCACTTCCCATTCCATCCCACCCCAAGTTCTCACCATAAACTACATGTGTGAGTTTAAGCCTTTTACAGCTTTAGTACATAAAATGTGTAATTTATAATGTGATTATATAAATATATGGTATAATACTATAATAATAGTACTATAATATTTTACTAGTATATTATTAATAATATATATTATTGCTTCTCCCTGTTTCTATACAAAATCTGACATATCCTATGTTATGACTTTTAAAAATATATCCTAGAAATTTTTTCAGACCCATAAATAAATATTTGCCCTATTCTTTTTTAAAAACCCACATAGTATTTAAATGCCAATGTTGTCTTCCACCCTCTCTTAGGGCTGATTGCTACTAATAGGCTGAATAATTTAAATATAACTTTTAGTGGTGTATATTTCCTTTTGTAAATGTTCACAATCATTGCCCACTTTTCCTAGTGGTGTGATTTTGGCATATAGATCTCTTAGTTCATAACTTTTTTCAAATATGTTTCTGCTAGTTTTGCAGTCAATCTTAGGTTTTCTATCCATGAGAACATACATATTGAATGTATTAGTGTGTGTATTTAGATTGCTGGACTTTCATGCCACTAGATATGTTGATATTTTCTTGTGTTTTTTCTGCTTTTGAACCTTCATCAAAGATTAATTTGAGGGACAGGGGCTGTGGCTCAGTGGTAGTACACTTGCTTGGCATTTGGTTTGATCCTCAGAACTGCATATAAATTAAAAAAAAAAAAGGTCTAGCAACAACTAAAAAAAATAAAATAGATTAATTTGATAACTACTATTTTCCTTAGATTTAAAGAATGTTCCATATTTTACATTTGACTTGAATTCATTAAAATTCCATTCGAATGTGCAATATGAAGTAAGATTCTAATTTATTTTTGTTTTTGTTTTAAATAGGATCATGTCTAGGATATTTCAGCTCATTTATGTATCCACAGTATGCATATCCTGCTTAGTTTTCTTGTGTTTCGAACCATTCCATTTAGGTGGAATATGGGAGAATACTTACGACATTTAAATAATATCCATTGAAACATGCTTCAATATTACTCATTGTATGTGTATACTTGAATATTTGAATTCAATATTTATCCTTTTATTAATGTTTACTTAGTGATAATTTCCATCAATTTCAATATAGCCATCTTCTTTCTCTGTTCTCGAAACAGATGTCAATTTCTTATCTACTGGTGAGTTACACAGAATTATGAGCACCAGACTTTATGTACTCTGGCTAAATGAAATAAACTGGTATTTCTTATGTGTTTTTTTTCAACCTTCACAGTAGCTAAATTTTTTTGTTGTTGTTAAAATAATGAAGATTTTTGACATTTAAATTATAAATATTATATGAAATGTATCTAAATTGAAAATAAATAAAATGTTGTGTTGTATTCTTTTATTTATTGTATCCCTTTAAATGGATATTTGTGTTTCTGTTTTTTTTTTTTTTTTTTTTTTTTTTTTGGTGCCAGGTATTGAACTCAGGGGCATTCAACCACTAAGCCACACCACAGCTCTAGTTTGTATTTTATTTAGAGACAGGGTCTCACTGAGTTGCTAAGTGCCTTGCCATTGGTGAGGCGGGCTTTGAACTTGGGATACTCCTACCTCAGCCTCCTGAGCCACTGGGATTACAGGTACTTGCCACCATGCCCACCTTGGTATTTGTGTTTTATGAGATATTCTAATGTAAACCTTGATCTTGCGTGGATTATACCCTGTGCATCCTATCATAGTGTTCCTTTTGCTAACATTGTCCACTCTGGAACCCATAACCCCAAATGTAGCCTAGGTGGCTATTGGGCACGCTGAATCCCTGGAGAAGGCCCCTGCTCTTTCAGGAGCTGTGTATTCTGTCAGGGTCACTTGGTCATCAACTGGACAGTGCTTTAAACTTTCTATAAGGCTAGCATGGTTTCTCTAAGATTTGGGGATAACTATTAATAGAGGGAATCTTAGTCTGTTTTCTGCTGCTATAAAATATACTACAGATTGGGCTGGGTATGGTGGTATAAGGCTGTAACCCCTGTAACTTTGGAGGCTAATGCAGAAGAATCAGAAGTTTGAGATCAGCCTAAGTAATTTAGCAAGGGCCTAATCAATTTAGTGATACCTTGTCTGAAAATAAAATAAAATAGAAAGGACTGGGATGTAATTCAGTGGTAAAGGTCTCCTGGGCTCAATTCAAATAAAAAGCTTGTGGTGAAGCCCTTCCTGATATATTATCACATTGTGGAAGGCAAGGAGAGAGTCAAGAAAGTCAAACTCTCTAACAACTCATTCTCTTAAGTAAGAACTCACTCACTCTAATGAGAACAGCTTAATCTGTTCCTGAGACTGGACCGCCCATGACCCAAACACCTCCTATTAAGCCCCACCTCCATTTTTTTTTTTAAGTAAAGCTGATGTATATTACTGTTCTTATATAGATGGAGAAATGTTTGAGGCTTTAATTTGACTTCTTCCTTAAACCAGCTGTTTAATTAAATCTTGTATTTTGTCTCTTAATATTTTAGAATTTACCTAAGTCCTATTTTTATACTTCAGAAAACAGTGTATAAATTCTGAGAACTATATAATATTTAGAGCAAACAACAAAACACTCAGTTTAATATATTTGAACTATAAAAAATATGCTAAACATGCTATTGTACTTCTCAGATAACCTTTACTTAAACTATTGAGATACACAAGATTTCATCAGTGTATCTAAATAAAAAGCCAAGTTAAAACACATTTATATTGATTTGTTAATTAGCTAAATAAGTAAGGAGAAAATATCTCAGGTATCATGTGGAATAATGATCAATTAATATACTTTATCAATAATCCTTTTTTGAATTACTCTTCATACTACTGTTGGTTCTCAACTAAAGTTTTCCCCTCTAGGGAATATTTGGAAAACTTTTGTTGTCAAAATGACATTGGACTGGAGGGCATTTGGGAAGCAGGTACCAGAGAGGCTAAACATTTTTTTTTTCAAAGCATAAGACAGTCTCCTACTGTGAGGAATTGTTCTTCCCAAATGTCAGTTGTGCCCCTGTTGAGAAAACACTGAGCTTAATCACATCTTTAGTCCTGATTTAAATACTTCTTGCTATTAATCCTAAATAGAGTTTTTATTCCTGACATGAGATACGTTTTTCAACAAATCCCTATAAAATTGCTCCTTCTTTTTTTTTTTCCTTCCCTGAAAGCTTTATCTTCTAGGAATAATGACTTAAAAAAGGAAGGGAGGATCTAGGTTTCAAAATGCTTTCTAAATCAATGTTAAGTTTTACATTGAATTCTATGAAGTTATTATTACACTTGTAACTTTTTTCCTGAATTAGATTCATCAATGTCATAAATCTTCAAAGCAGTCCATGATTTTGATGGTTACAAAATGAAGGGCAAGGAAAAACTTGGTTTTGAAATCTATTAAAGTATATACTAATGTAAAATTTTTCTATTTAAGCAACTCACAAGGAAAAAACTGAGAAGAAAGAAAAGCCAGAGACAAAGGCAGGAGCAAAAGGTAAAATTTCCTTTATTATTTCCACAACTGACTACTTTTTACTTTAAAAGATTATATTTTAGGCAATAGAGAATCAGATGTTTGTTACCATTCAGAATTTCATTTGCATTTACATAAGTATGAACCTTATATTTAAAATTTACTATCTAAAGAATAATAAAAAACTGACTGTGATAAATGATCATCTTAAATAGGAGAGGAAAATGAAGAGCTTCATCATACTTGATTGGGAGAATTTTGTTCCATGACTTTTCCCCTTTGGTGTCATTCCCATCAAGATGTTACATGACATGGCCAACTGAATTTTGCAGGAGTAGGGAAGTTTGATCTGAAACAGGGAGATTATCCTGGATTATACAGGTGGGCTCAAAATGCTATTGCAAAGTATTCAGATGCAGAGAGATTTAGCAACAGAAGCAGAGAGATTTGAAGTGTGAGGACTTGCCCTCCTTAGCCACATGGAAAACGTAAGAAATGTTCTTTCCCAGAGACTAAGAAACGACTCTGTTGATAGTTTGATTTTAGACTTGTGAACCAATTTTAGACTTGTGAACCATAAACAAGGAACCCAATTGAGCCATAGTGAGCCAACATTTTAAAATCATGTAAACTCCGGTATAATAAATGTGTATTGTTTTAAGCAACTGTTTGTGATAATTTGTTACTTTGGCAATAAGAAAATAACACCTGGTTTGTAGTTTTTGACAAGTATTACATCTTGTGATCGATTTCAGGAAATTCAAACTCAGAGTTTCATTTTTTTATGCACATAACTTCATTATTATGTTAAGACTTTGAACACTAAAAGTATCTTGATAATATACCCCTACAAATCAATTAGAATATCGCTATAATATTATTATTTCCACAACTGAATACTGATTTTTTGAGTAAACTGATCTATTCTAAATTTAGTTACCAATTATTTTGTGTTAGAAAAATATAAATATGAACTGGAAGTTAAACCTTATCCCTTAAATTTAATTGTCTTCCTTGTATTTTAAAATAAAAGTTGTAATCAGTATATTTTAGAAATTATAATCTATTATGTTCAAGAATCTAATCATTTAGGAGAAAGAATCTATTTTCAACATTCAGTTTGTTAATTCAAAAATTTTAAATATTAGACCATTTAGGGGAAATATATTTTAAAATAATTATTTTCTGTAAGCTAAGCTGATATTTTATTGAAGCTAAAATGTATGGGTTATAAAATGAGACTGCTTTTTAAAAAAGTAGCATGAATTTAGTCTCTATATTAAATTTATAGCTAAGTAAATACATTTTAATTTTATTTGGCTCTCTTCCACAGATGTGAGTGAAAATGAATTACATATATGTGTGTGTGTGTGTGTGTGTGTGTGTGAAATATAAATGCTAGTAGAGATTTTAGTGATTTTCCAAATTAATTACTGAGTTTAATAGATGAAAAAATAATTAACCCCTAGAAAGACAAAACAATTTGGTCAGGTCATATTGCTAGTATATAATTGGATTAAGTCAGAAACCCAGGTGACCTACAGGTAAATCAAGTATTCTTTCCAAAGATAATTAAATAAATCTTTTCAATAAGTATGTGTTGAATGCTGTATTTGTTATTTATTGTTGTGTAAAACATGACCACAAACGTTGAGGCTGTGGGTCCAATACCTGGGCATGGACTAGTTCAGTACTTTCCTTCACAATCTGTTCAAAACTAAAAACAAGTTATAAACCAGGGCTGAAGTATCATTTGAAAGTTCACTTGGACAAAGATCATTTCCAAGTTCATTTATAGGGCATTGGCAAATTCAGTTCTCATAGCTATTTGAATGAAGGCCTCAGCTTTTTGCTGCTTGTTGGCCAGAGGTACCCTTAATTCCTTGTTGCAGGAGTATGAGTGATATGATAGCTGACTTCATTAGACCTAGCAAGAGAAAGAATCTGCATGAAGATATCACAATTTCATGTTGACTAATCATGCAAGTCTCATTCATCCACTTTGGCAGTGTACTATTGGTTAGCATATTTCTAGGTCAAATTGTATTCACAGGGAGCAGACTATGCAAGGGTACAAAAGGCAGGAATCTTTGGGCACCATCCTGAGTCAGCCTGCTACAAATGCTTTCAATTTACATACATTCTTCTGGAGAAGATAGATGCAAACTATAAAACACACACACACACACACACACACACATATACACACATGCACACAAAAATTTATTTTCATTTTATATGTCTATGTTGTTTTAGGAACAGGAAACATATAGGAAATGTTCTTTGTAGGTATTGTGATATCTAGGAAAAGAGAATAGTATTTAATAGGTCTAAACTGTAGTATGTAACATTTAAATCAGACATAAATATAAACTTGAAAGTGAGTCTCCTTAGAAAGAGCTTTTATTCCCAGAGGCACTTTTATTGAACACAGTATTTCTAGCTCTGTTTCAACCACAGTCTGTCCAAGGACAGCAACTAAATAGCCCACCTCAGAACTTTCACAGTGGGTATTTCATTGTCTACCCTGGAACAGATGTAGGGTCCTGTATCAGAACTAGCCTACACCTGTAGTTCATTAAAAATTATAAAGAGGAAAGACGAAGAAGACAATGATGGAATCAGAAGGTGAATGAATGAGCCAAGTTTGAAACAGACTATTTTAACTGGCCTGGAAATAGCAGGTCTTAAGATGTCTGTGTTTGATGAAGTGGGGGAGGCTACTGCTGTTGTGACCATGTTCAGGAAGACTGTATTACTTTAGCTGGGTCTGTGTATATTTATATCTGCTCCCATATGTCTTAAGATATATTTTTGTATCATTTTCACAGGATAATATTTATAACTTTATGCCAGTTAGTGTTCTTAGGAAATTGGTTAGACATTCTGGTTTTACTGCTATTTTTCCTGACTCATTTGGTTGTACCATCTTTACCAAATGGCTTTTGTTTCTTGGATTTCTCATATGTAGAATTAGTACAATGTAGTACCTCCTGTATATATTAAATTCTGGGTAAATTAAAAGGAAGTTTCAAAGAGCTCTAATAATGTAACATATGTATTTTCAACATTAGGAATTTATGTACTTATTTTGCAGTGTTCAATTTTTGTTGTTGTGTTATTGTTGTTCATTATCTTGCTTGTTTCCACAGCATTATTAGAGGAACAGGCAGCTACAATGATGATTTATTTTAAATGCAGGAAAACTGAGGCATAGAGAAGTCAAGCAATTTGTAGTTACTTAATGAATGAGAGATGGAATTAGGTATTTTCTAACTCCAAAAATAGGTAGAACCATAGTATGTTTATTAGATAACATATTTCTCTACTTTGGCATGAGACAGACATTTTATTCTTATAAAATTATAAATGGGCAATGCTACATGCAAAATTATATCAAATATGCAGATGTCATTCTTTTGATTAAACTATTTTGTTTTGTATTTGACAAATGTCATGAATTAATTATCTACCTAACTAAAATGAGGTTATTTAAATACAACATGGATACACACACACACACATAAATTATATATATATATATATATATATATATATATATATATATATATATATATATTTGCTTTATCAATCCTGAATGAATGTCTCTTAAATTCTTTTTGTTAAAATGAGGGAAAGTACTTTGTCATAAAATTTAAGAATATTGATTCCGTTTGATCAAAACAAGTAGAAATTTGATATTGCTTTAGTTTCACAATATTTTTCTCATTATATTCACCTCATTATGGAGTTCTCATTTTTTCTATTGAAGACAAAGTTATCTATTTCAAAGATGAGAGTCTCTGATAAATTTCTAAAATAGGTAGGGAAAATTTTACCATGTGTATACTTAAAATCAATGATTATAATAATCCTGTTTCTAAGAAAATTGTCTCTGTATAAAGTTTTATGAAATTACAAATAGATATAAATTTAACATTTTTAATTGTATAGTGTAAAGCCAATCTTAAATTTGTGTAAGTCTACAAAGGATCAGGTACATATCATACAGAATAGCCAAAAATAACAATTTCACATAACAAAGCATAAACCAAAAATCAGTTAACAAGTTTTCCAAGATTTAATACATTTATTCTAAACATTTCTATTTACATATTTAATCTATCACTGTTATATATATATATGACCTGAATATAATGAAATATTTACTCCATCAGTTAAGCATACATTTATTCTGTTTTTGGGTTTTTTTTTTTCTGAAAAAAGCACTGTACTAGACATAATGGTGATACAAAGTTGAATAATGGAGTTCCTATTTGAAGTTGCTTATAAGTGTGGTAAGGGACACAGATAAGTGAACAATCATCTGTAATTCAAAATACACAATAGGAAATAAAATGCTTTAATAAAAATTCAGGTCAATGAAATATCAGGGGAAGAAATGATTAAATTCAATATCAAAGCCAATTTTTTACATGTGAATTGAATGTGGTGAAATTTTGATATATAGAATATGTGGAAAATATACACTGCAGTTTGACAATGTTAGCATGGGAAAAAACATAATGCATTCAAGAAAATTGAAGTTGAATGGTGGAAGAAAAGAAACTTTTGGAGAGGAGCTATGAAAAGACAAACAATGAAAACAAATATCTCAGGGTTTTAAACACTGCATTAAATATTTCTTTAGAAAATAATATTACTGTGCTGGTAAAGATTCATCAAATATCTATGAGCTCAGACCAATACAGATTCTCTGGAAGGGCTTTTTGAGTTGTGTAAATTTGGCTGTTGGCCATACCAGGGGAAATTTCGCTCCAGACAGACCCTAATAAACATTTCAGTGTGGGTTTCTAGAACAGTGTTGATTCAAGTCATCCACAGAAAGCAGATTTTTTTTTCTCAGTCACGATATGTATGAATTTGCTATAGGAAAAAGCAAAAAGCAAGCAAAGGATATTTAGAAATGGTTCATAGAATGTAGAAGAAAATCCCAAGTATAGTCACAGAACCCACAAAGAGTTTGGAATCTTGAAACTTATGAAGTGAGTGGGTAATATTTGTATGAGAAATTTATGGTAAAATAATTTTGGATAATATATATAGCATAATTTTCCTCCTTGGAGAGTCTCAGTATAACATACCTTTGAGGGACTCCATAGCAAGAAACTGGTTTTGCTGTTTCCAAAATGATTTTGTCAGAAGAAAAATCTCTGATCTTAAATGTAGCTTAGTCTCTCTTGATTACATAAAATATAGCATTTTAAATTAAAAAAGAGTTGCATTTTGCAGATGAGCTATAAGTTTAAGATACCCCTTCATACATTGCATTAAATTTTGATAACAATCACAAATATTTATGTCAAAATTACAGTTTCCTGTTCCTTTTTTTTCCTTTCCTCTTTCTTCTAAAGATTATGTTTAAGTAGCAATTACAGAAGAAATATTCTGTTGGTAAGTTTAAAAAGTAATAATCTAATGTTTCTTAACTGTAAACAGAAGAAAAGAAGGCTAAGTCTAAAGAAAAGACTGATGAAAAGACTAAAAAGGAAGCAAAAGGTGGGAAACCAGAGAAAATGAAGCAAACAGCTGCAAAAGTAAAAGAAGTACAGAAACCATCACCGAAAACCAAAGAGAAGGATAAAGAAAAGGAGGACAAAGAGGCACTGTCCAAACATGAGCAGCAAGGTAAACATTCAGAGGAGGAAGCAGCCCGAGGCTCTAAGAGGATATTGGGCAAGAAGCAGATGCAGTAAAATTAACCTGACAAAGATCAAAATCAGACTCCAAACAGGGGTAACAGACCCATACATGTAAATATACTGGAAAAGAAATATAATAAAATGGGAATTAATATTTATTTATAGAAATATAAAATGAGTTCAAACATATCTAAGGTTGCATTTTGAAGTATTTTAAAGTGGTTTTTGAATTAGAGTCTGGAGTTACTTAAATGTTGGGAGTAAATGTTGAATTCTTGAGATGTAGAATTTCTATTAAGAGACAGAATAACAATTGAACAATTTTGTGTGTCATACTTAAGAGAAAAGCACTCCAGAAAAAAAAATGATAGCAATTCCAAAGATTTGTTAAGGAGTCTATGAACAAATTATAAATAATAAATACTATTAAAACTATTTGTACATTCTCACGGTTTCTGAAAGCACACACAATTTAGAATATGATCAAATTATAAAATTCATTGAATTTAATAGGCAACAAAGTTGTAGAAAAAAGAACTCTCGGCATTTTTTGCCAGTTTCCAGTGACTAAATTGATGATTTTGGAAAGCTCTACAGCTGACAGGTGACTGATTCTCTTCAATAAGAGTGATGTCAAACTTATACCCTCACTTCAGAAATGGTATAGCATTTAAATGGAGGTGGAAAAGACAACTGAAGTTCTTTATGGAAGGGTTCTAAGTAAACATAAAGCGGTGGGTGAAGTGTTTAGAGGGCTACTAAGGGCCTTTGGGCTTTGTTGAATCTTTCCTTCTCTAAGTCCATTCTTAGGTCAAGGTCACTACACACTCTGAGACTCCATGACTAGAATGTGGGACCTAACCTATTTCTGTAAAGGATGTGTCCTACAGAGGGTGCAAAATAAAATTTTCTTTTACTCTGGTAGCAATTGAATAATTTCATGTGAGAGTTAAAATCAAGGAATTGGATACTCTGAGACTTTTATGTTTTTTAAAAAATCTTAACATCTAATTTCTGATTAAGCTTTCGGACAGAAAAATGACAATAATTTTCCTCATTATAGTTAACATGATCTGAAATATGCAGTATACTTTTGTATTTTATCTACTTTTGTAATTTTATCTTCCCCAAATTGACAATATTGGTAAACTTCAGTGTAAAAGTAATATTTGTAAACTTTGATTTATAGGATGAAAGGTACATATTTTAAAATATATATTTTAAAAAAGAAGAAGGAAGAAAGATCTTTTTTTCTTTTTGTGATCAAAAAACTTTAAGAAATTTTCACTTATTTTGAAGTAATATTTTAATATAGGATTTAATTAAAACTTTGGAACCTTAAATCTTTCTTTCATTTTTAAGATGATTATATTACCCTGAAAAATTAAAAATATTAGTTATCATCTCTTTTTAAATTATTTCATTTATGCAATATTTGGGATAGAAAATAAATGTAATAAATGAAGAAAAATATTTTAATGGGATATTGTATTATGATAGAATACAAAAGTTAATCTTCTGATTCACTAATATGTTTATTTATATCTTAAAATATTTTGCATTTTAGATCATCCTTTTCCAACATGAAACTAGTTAAAACATGCAAGTTTATCTTAAGTTTATAAAGATGTATGCCAGTTATTTTTAGGAATGTCAAAATACTTATCCAGTAAGTAGGAATATGAACATGTTTTGGGATGGTCATTTTTAGTATCTTTGGTGGCTTTGAGACTATATTTTACTGATAAGGACATAACACTAGGACATTTCAAATAATATTTATTTTCAAGTTACAAATACTATATTTTATTCCTATCAGGAACAGATTTATTTAAGATAACATTATATTATTATTCCATTTTCATTTTGCTCTTTTCATTTCTACATTAAGAGCTATTTATCTTTTAAAAGGATGCTCAAATATCACACAGAGGTAGACACAAGTACACAAATAAGATTTCTTCAGCTAAACAAATGCATTTGCTAAATTTCCTATTGAGAATAGCTATCATTAATTAAATAAAGGTAGTATTAGGTAAGTAATCAAAATTTAACCTATAATGGTTGGTCAGACACATAAATATGTTAACTTTTATTTCTACACTTAAGACTTAAGAGCATTTGTTTATTTAAAAACCTAATCACATAATAGTTTTAATTAAATAAGGTAAAGTTGTTGTTTAAAATACAAATGCATGAGTTTATTTTTATTTTGAAGTTATTGTATTGTTGACAGTAAAATTAAACTAGTTCTTCTTTGGTCAAGAAAATATTTATTTGCTTAGCTTAAGTTAGATGTAATGAATTTAAGATATTCTTTTCATTAAGATATCTAAATAGTTCCTTTTAAATAAATTGTTTTTGCAGATCTTTTACTACTTGGAAACCTACACAGGACACAAAATTATTGGAAATTATTTGATTACATAGTATATACGTAAATATATTAAATGTGGTTACTTTTAATATTTCATACATAAACAATGCATTTATACTTAAAGCACTGAGAATAAGATTCATATGTATGTACATGGCTACTAGAAACTGAAACACAACTTTTATATTTCATAATTCAGTTTTTATGGACCAATTTAAATCAATTTATTGGGTGGTAAGAAGTGTTGCCAAAATGGCATATTGCTTCTTAGTCTCTGGTGAGTCTGTGGGGAAGCGAAAAAAAGAAACAAAACAATCTCCCAGATCCTATGTATTTTGCTTATTTTTTTTCTTTCTTTTCCAACAATTATTTAAATATCTGTAGCAGTCAGAGAAAGTAGAGCTAATGAGAATCTGCCATAGAACACTGGACTGCACGTACCCCATCCTCATTAAAGATTATTTTTAAGAATCCCTTCTGATGACATTTTGCACCCAGAATTCATTTTCCCTCAGCTGCCACTCCACAGGGAACACTGACAAGGCAGCAGCAGCTGAATGACGTCCATCATTGCTCCCTGAGGACCGCAAAGGGGAGAGACGGACAGCATGGATTATTCCTAGAAGGATGCTATTTGAGAAAAATTACTTTGAAGTGGTGACCAAATATGAAGTTAACTTATGTAAATTATTATCCCATAACTATGAGAGTTACAATGACAAGACAACTCAGATTTTTCTTTAGGAAAAAATTCCTGCTACATAGTTTGACTTGGGTTTAAAGAAACATTTCTGTAAAATGAATCTTTTAGAATTAGGAATTTTCTTTTGCTCTGTCCTAAGGCAGGTGAAACAGACATACTTAGAACTGCCTAATACATACCTTCAAAGAATTGTTATATATCTTGATCTGAGGACAGAGAGAAATATACAAAATATTACAAAATTCTTAATGTAAAATATTTTAAAAATAGTGATGCCATTAGAATATAAGATCACAGCCTTGCTTATAAAGAACTAAAACGTTTTAAATGTTATTATTCAAATAATTTTCTAGATGAAAAAGAAAGTTCCTTGAACTAATAGAGAATTTTCTTTTCAAATTAGAAACTCATTGAACTATTGATGCATTAATTAAAAGAATGATCTTTGGAACCACACATTATTGGTATGATAAAAAATAAACATAGCACTTTGGTAATATTCATACCAGGTTAAAAAGTTTTGATATACTCTCAATATTAAATTGATGAGGAAACTTTGAACTGTGGTTTTATTAATTCAGTACACTGTTCAACATTTTATGTGTATAGCTAGCCCATCATCCCTTGGGACAGAGAACAATATTTCATTTTGGAGCATCATACAAATCCTTCAAATTACAAATAGTCCCTACATTCTAAACTTCAGACTACATTCTAACAAAAAGTCTCTTTTGCTGTCCTAGGAGGCTGTAGTGTCATTAATGATCACTGAGTAAAAACACAATTGAATGGTTTTAGATTGGGGATTCTGCATATATGATCTATCTGATTAGACGCATCAGGGGAGTTTGATAAAAATGCATCATCCTAGGGTCCAGACCCACAGCACAAGTTTTGAAATGATGTGTCCCACAAGAAATTCCCTTGTCTTTTTGATGAGTAAACTGCCAACAGAGAACTACTTCTAAAAGAAATCTAAAGGCATAATCACTTCAGATAGTGAAACAAAAGGGAAAGACTGACAATGTCACATTTAACTAATTCTAATTTTCCATTAAAGGAAAATGCATTTTTTTTTTTTGGTCTTGTCTTAGTGCAGACTTACCCATTCAGCAAGAAAATCTTGTGTTCAGAAAAGAGAAGCTACCATCTGCTTCAACCTTACTTTTTTTTTTTTTTTTTTTTTTTTTCCATATGAGGTTCCCAGGTCCTGGCATCTGAAATTTTTGTTACTGCAGCTTCATCAAAGAGTAGATAGATTCATGGACTGATCTGAGAATTAGCCTTTTTCCCACTCCTGAGTCTCCTGTGGGAAAATGTGCTCTCATTTCAACAATAAAAATACATACAACATTTTGAAATTATATGAGTTTTGGCTTAACATATTTAGGTATTAATGAACACGATTGTATTTTAGATCTACCACATAGCATTTACGTTTTGAAAGACCTGGGAGAGTTTCATAATAAAACTCATTAAAAATATTAACACTCTAAAGATTGAAGTTTTAAAAAATCCTTCAATGTATATTAATAGAATAACAAATTTTGTTGTTTCATGTTTGATACGCATAATGTGAAACAATTAAAAATATGTCATGTTGTATAAAGCCAATAAACTTACTTGGTCCCAAAGCTGCCTTTGGATTTGGTCAATTAATAAGATCTCTATTCTAAGAAAACTAAAATGTAAATCATTGCATAGAAGATTCATTTCATAATATTCAAGATTTAGAGAATCTCTGGTAAAACTTACAGATTCTAATGAGAATCTTCATCAATGGAAACTTGGAATGACCTTAGGAGAATTTAAAGTTGTGTGAAAATATGAAATAGTTTAGAGAGAAAAGAAAAAAAAAACACTCTTGAAATTATTTTAAGATGTTTGTCCCAAATGTTCACCACTTACTGTCTTTTGATCCTTTTTTCCATAGGTCATAGACTAGTCAAGATCATAAAATGGTCTTATGAAAATTACTCAATTAATTATCTTAACAGTGGTATCATTTGGCACTGTTAGTCTGTTCTTGATTTCTTCTAATTAAAGAACATTGTCATGGAAAGTAGTTTCAAAGGGGTTCGCCCTACTGCAGGCCTTTTGACAAAATATTCTGCAGCTTCATTTAGGATCTGGGAGAGAATATTTGGTAAAACATTCCAAATTGGAACCAATTTTCTTTTGTAAAATTTCTGCTTCATCATCCTAAGTCTACAAAAGGACAAATGAGAATGAGTGCTTTAATGTGATGACTTTGTAGCAAATTTGATGAAAAAGGCTTTCATTTTTAAAAACAACCACTATAATATTATCTCTGTTTCAAAATTTAAGGTATTTTTTTGTATGACTAAATGGAGCATTATGTTCATTATGCCTTTTCCCTCCTGCATGTCCATGAATACAAATTATTTCTTTGCAGAAAATATGTAGTAACCAAAATTGAATTGTGCTATTTTGTTTTGTTAAACCATTTCTCCATTGAAAAAAGAAGGATTTTGATGACATTTTCTCATTTTTTTTCTTTCTACTCTGTCAGATCAGTATGCATTCTGTCGATATATGATTGACATGTTTGTCCATGGGGACTTAAAACCAGGTATTCCAAACAATTCTTGTGCTTGTCTGTTTTAATAGTCTTTGTTTCTAAGATTTTTGGCTTTTTAATGTACTAAACTGTATTTTCCTTTTTAAAAAATGCATAATGCATGTGTAGATCTAGAATAAAGCCAATAAAAAGCAAAAGTAATAAGTGGCATTAGGGCCTTTAATTTTACTTTCAATCACTGCATGGCCTATTGCAAATATAGTCAGCTGAAAGCTAAAAACATGCTAATATCTTCATATTGAAGTATGCTAATATCTTTAATAATATCTTGGAGTGAAGCGATGAATTATCTTTTTAAAATTCCTTGTAAACAGAAGAAAAAATGTATGACAATGAAAATATCATTCTTTTCTTAGAAGTGAACATTCTTTTCCTAGAAATGAACAGAATTCATATTAAAATGCATCACAGTTCAAATATGAAATCCCCTAAAACAAACTTGAGATTTTCTCCCCACATATGAACTTTGGCCATTCCATAAAAATTTTAATGGAGATAGTCAAGTCTGGAGTTAATAGTCAACATAATGGAGAAAACTTTTAGTTAAAGCAATGTACATTAATCTCTCATACCTTTAATTCTTGCCCAGAGTTTAATGAGGTATTCTTTACTAATACCATAATTAAAAATAAGCAACTTATTGCTTGCACTATGGTTTTTGCAGAAATAAAAACTGGTGAAACATGTTCATATTCGGGAAAACATTTCTAAGAAGATATTGTTAAAGAAGGAGATAATTTATATTAAAATAACTGAAGCTGTTTGTTTAAAGCAAACACATTTTGTGTCCTTGCGTGTTTATGAGAAAATCTTTCTAAAATGTATAATTATAACTTGGGCATATGTTGAAAACAGGTATGTCATATCTGAAAAAAATGTATAATACATATAGGCCCTAGGAATTAAGAAAATCCTACGACTCTTATTTCTCTGGACAACTAAAGTAGCAGAACAACTTATTCTGTCAGATGGTTTCCTTCTCTTCCTCCTCCTCTTCCTCTTTTACTTCCTCCTTCATTTTTTTTCTACATTTTTAATGTGTTAAAAACTGAAATGAAGGGTATAAACCTGAGAATGATGGTATCTTACTTGGTGAAGTTGATTATGGTCATCAGTTGGGTATGGTATAATAGCAAAGTAAAATTAAGTGGAAGCACTGAGGAAGGGAGGGTGATTCAGGGGAATGTGAGGCATACAAGTGCAGTGCTTGACTCCAGTCTTTTCTGTCATGGGACCTTGAGGAAAATCACTGAGTACCTCATCTTCAAGTTGCTTACATTTAAAATGAAGATCACAGTTACAACCTTGCATTGTTGACAAGGCACCTAGTCGATTCATAGCAAATTGTTTTCATCTTTTTTTTTTAATTTTTTATTGTTGGTTGTTCAAAACATTACATAGTTCTTGATATATCATATTTCACACTTTGATTCAAGTGGGTTATGAGCTCCCATTTTTACCCCATATACAGATTGCAGAATCACATCAGTTACACATCCATTGATTTACATATTGCCATACTAGTGTCTGTTGTGTTCTGCTGCCTTTCCTATCCTCTACTATCCCCCCTCCCCTCCCCTCCCCTCCCCTCTTCTCTCTCTGCCCCCTCTACTGACATTCATTTGTCCCCCTTGTATTATTTTTCCCTTTCCCCTCACTTCCTCTTGTATGTACTTTTGTATAACTCTGAGGGTCTCCTTCCATTTCCATGCAATTTCCCTTCTCTCTCCCTTTCCCTCCCACCTCTCATCCCTGTTTAATGTTAATCTTCTTCTCAAGCTCTTCGACCCTACTCTGTTCTTAGTTACTCTCCTTATATCAAAGAAGACATTTGGCATTTGTTTTTTAGGGATTGGCTAGCTTCACTTAGCATAATCTGCTCTAATGCCATCCATTTCCCTGTAAATTCTATGATTTTGTCATTTTTTAATGCAGAGCAATACTCCATTGTGTATAAATGCCACATTTTTTTTTATCCATTCATCTTTTGAAGGGCATCTAGGTTGGCTCCACAGTCTTGCTATTGTGAATTGTGCTGCTATGAACATCAATGTAGCAGTGTCCCTGTAGCATGCTCTTTTTAGGTCTTTAGGGAATAGACCGAGAAGGGGAATAGCTGGGTCAAATGGTGGCTCCATTCCCAGCTTTCCAAGAAATCTCCATACTGCTTTCCAAATTGGCTGCACCAATTTGCAATCCCACCAGCAATGTACAAATGTACCCTTTTCCCCACATCCTCGCCAGCACTTGTTGTTGTTTGACTTCATAATGGCTGCCAATCTAACTGGAGTGAGATTCTTTTCCCCACAGTATGTCAGGGTGAGCACTCCGCAGGAACGATCCCAGGCCATATGCACCATCCCAGGCAATATGCACCATAAATTCACTTTAGGTAAAAGATTCACAGCCCATTTTGTTCAGCGGTGGTATTTCAAGGAAGTCACACTCCACAGATATTTCTGCTTTTATAAGATGGACCAAATATTGACTTATACATAAGATGAATCTGTATTTTTGATAAGTAGGAATTAAGAAATGACTAATATATATTGTTTACTTTATGTTTTATTTTTAAGTTTTATTATTTGACTAAAATTAATATTTGTGCCATAAAAATTGTTTATAGTAGCTACGATATGTTGATCTTAAAACATATTTTCTAAAAAAATCATAGCACACTGAACCCTGCATTGTGGAAGTTAGTAAGCGATGGGGGCAGTACAACAGTTATAATACCAATGGATTCTTTCTGAATACCTCACAAAAGCTGAAGGTCAGAAGGAATAATAAAACCATCTCTGCATGAGGTAAAGAAGATTTTGCTAATGACCACACAGAGAGAGCTCTTCTTAAGGTTTATGTGAACCTCCAAAATATATATATATATATATATATATATATATATATATATATATATATTTATCAGATTCAGGGCTGAGGATAGAGCACAGTGGCATAGCACTTGCCTAGCATGCACAAGGCCTGAGGTTTTATTCACCAGAGGATCAAAATCTATAGCACTACATAATACTCTAAGTCCTAAAAATAATTCCTCTTTCTTATAGGATTAAGTCTCTTAATACCATCTATTTACTTGACTTTCTGACTGCCCTAATGTATCTCATCTACTTACATTCATTATTTTGAAGGTTTAAGAAGTAAAAGAATATTTAGACCAGTAATTTTTGTTCAAGCACTAAGATGGAGGAAGGGGAGAGGAGAAATAAAGTATAATAAACTACATACTATTGGTAAATGTACCAAAGGAAAGTTTAAAAATACTATCTTTGTTAGTGATGCAATATGTAATATGGAATGATAAAGTACTAATGTTTTAAAACTAAGGAGTGAGAAACACATATTTAATCTGGGCATATTAATTTAGAGAAAACAAGTGATAAGACATTGACTCTGACTGACAATTAAGGAATAAAATAATTCCTGCCAAGTTTATTGCTCTGCATGTATCCACTATTTATAAAACATTTGTGCTTCCATCTGTTTCTGTTTGGGATTAGTGGAACACCTGTTATTGTTTAGCTGGAGTTCATTATTAATTATTGGTAATGAGTTTTTTAAACTATAATTTGACTTTTCCCTCTGGGATTCAGTAATTCTCTTGGAGAATATTGTCACACCCTCAAACGGAGCCCAAACTGTAGTTCACAGTGGAAAACCTTGTTGATGCCATGTGCAGGTGCTGATACTGTGACATCAAGTCCCTAGTTTTGCTTTATGTACCAAGAAATAAAATACTCCTAAGGTATCCTTAAAAGTTTTAGTTAACATGTACATTATATTAATTGAAGTGCTCTGGCTCTCCACAGTGAATAGTGAATGTGCAATATACTTTGATTGGAGATAATTCTTACTTCAGTAAGAATTTCAATTTCTCCTCTACTGACTCACTTTATATTAAGTTGGAGCAATAAGAATAAAGTCTGTTTAAATCTAGAAAGTGAACATATACTATCAAGGCTGGTCATATGAGCAGCTGGAATAGACATATATCTACTATTTTTTTTTAAGATATGATGAATACTGAAGATTCCCTCCCCCCTGCCGAAGAAAAATTTCTTTATCTTCTCTTTAATATCAGAACAACCTCACCATGAGATCCCTTGATTCTGTAGATTGTCAGTGTTACATATTCGAATAGCTGTTCGAGGGGAGGGAGGGAAGGAAGAGGAGGGGGCAGGAGAAAGAGAGAGAGAGAGAGAGAGAGAGAGAGAGAGAGAGAGATCCTGTTCCTGTGGTGTCTGTCTTGAAGGTAATAACCGCCACTTTCCCTCTAAAGATTAAGACTATCTTCTTGTTATTTTCTTATGAGAGAACTACTAAAACTGGTCAATACAGACATCATTTGCAACACTGCAAATCAATTCATGATGCTTGCTTTGTTTTCTCTAAAAATCAATAGTAGAGATGTTCAAGGTAAAATTCTTTTAGATTTATTTATATATGACCTTCCTAATAATTCCAATTTCCTCTTCAATATTTCATGGCTAAGCACATTCTTCTCAAGCAACACTTGTACCAATAGTTTAAACTCTTAAGGAAACATCATGATCTTGTCAGTTTCATATTCCTTCTTCATCAATTTCTACTTGGGCTTAATGAATTGAATGGATTTCTGAACAGAATCATCCAAGTTAAAGAGATGAATTTCTAAAAGTAAGAAATCACGTGGCTCACAGACCTCTTTATATTCCCTGTAGATAAAGAAAACAATTTAAATATCAGTACAAGGACTAGGGCAAGTGTGCTTTTGGTTAGAATTTTAAAGCTTTTCTTTTTCTTTTTAGCTTTCATCTCCATAGCTAGAAGGATTAAAGTTTAATATAAGTTAAAGTTTATTTCTTAGGAATTATCCCACCATTACAATCCCAGAAATTGTCTGACTTTTACTTGAGCCAAGAATTTATGTCAAGGTAATTTATTTTACTTTCTGCGTTGTTTACTTTCCTAAAATTGAGGGTACTCACCTACCAAAATCTTCTCTGACTATAATAGGGCATTCTTTGGCAGCCTGTATTTCAATTCAGTGGGTTTCAAGTCCATAGCTAGAAAATCCTCAAGTAGTTAAGTTAGTACTCTCACTTTATTAAGATCCTTTTCTTAAACTTCAGTGGTACTTTACTATATTTTTGGTTTAATCTTTCAGAGAAGAGGTCAAATGTAATAGCAGTATAGTCACTGTTATTTAATGGTTTAATCTGATATATTTCACTTGGTGTATTAAAGAAGACTAGGTAAAATTCAGCCTTTCTTTATACTTTCCCAAAAATCCTGCTCTAAGGTAGGCAACCTTCCAAAAAATATGCTCATTTTAATTCCAAACATCTAATTATTTTACACAACAAAAGCTTTGGGAGTTACAGTGTTTAATCAGTAAGTATTTTTTGAATTCCCTCAGCCAGCTGATAGTCAAGAGACAAAACATGACTTGAATAACTGTATAACTAATAATAACTCGGTAAGTGTGCAGTAGAGACCCCGAAAATATAAACACTACTCTTAGTACACCAGAAACAGTGATTTCAACTCACCACCTGGATATCTTAATTATTTAAAAAAAAGAATTAAATTATCTTAGAATATGTGGACAGTGAATATTTTGATGACAATTTACACAAAAATTAAGTGCTTATTTTATACATTCCCAATTTTAAAGATATGTATACTCTAAGTAGGAAACATCTTCAGAAAGGGACTCACTGCTCAGCAGCTCTCATTCCTGAGTCTGCATGGAACCAATTCCAGATTTGAAACACATCTTTAATAGGTTCCAGCATGGTATTAGAACATGGATCATTAAATGCAACAGTTGATTTATTGAAATCTGTGATGATAGATACTTCATTTGAAAAGAAAATGTTTTCGTCTTCATTCCATAATAGCAAAAATTTTTCATTTTTATGTTTGTGAACATGAACTAGAATAAAAAATTCAACCAGTTTTCTCATCCACACATTGTCTATTTCCTTCTGATTCTTGCCAGTATGTCTAATCATTTGTGTCCATAAAACCACAGCGTTGAGCACATAGATCTTTAGATGAAAAGGATGCTACAACACGATCTTTTACTAAAATAGCATGCCTTAGGTTCTTGCCATGCTGAAAGCCTAAGTAACTGAGAATAATATGTTTTTCTTTGAAATGTATTGTTCACTCATTCATTGATTTTCAAATCTGAGAAAATTCATTGTCATCTGAAGACATCTCACTTGTAGAATCAATTTTAATTTCAGCCTGATCTTTAGAATCTAGCCTGTTGCTATCTTTTTTAATTCATCTTTTGATTTATTTAATAATTTTGAGGTATCTTTCTCTGTCACTTTTCTTCTCTGCAGTAATGTGTGAAAAAGGAATATTCTCAATCTTCAACTGTTCAATGAAATTAAAATTAGGCTAGTAAAATGGTGTCCCTCAGCTTCTATTATATCTTCCTAAATAATGATACAAAACTACTAAACACAATCAGGTGAGAGAGCCAAAGAGCCAATTAAAAAGGAAACTTCTGGTTTCTGAGTTTACCTCAGAGGAGAAAAAAGGACTTGAGGTTTAGGTTCAGCAGAGAATTTTCTACAGGAATCTTTAACAAGGAGTATAAAACTCCACTGCTTTTCAGATAACATAACACAGATTTAAATATGTCACACAAAGAAGATAATATGGAAATATGTTAATAATTATTATTAAATAGACTTAACACCACAACTAAATTTAAAAAATGTATTGTTTAAAATAATTGACAAAATAATTTCTAAGTTAATGAAATGAAAAATGTTCAATATGTAAGAAAAATATGATTGTGAAGATTGCAAAGTGTGCCTTCAATTTTTAAAATTGTTCAATGTTGCTACATAGTAATTGCAATGGAGAAAACATTTTTATTCTATTTAAAATTAAATTTTCTTTTTGTTACTTAAAATTTCTATATATTAATAAGTCAATCAATATTTTTCTTTACAAACTTGTTAGGATAGCTAATAAATTAAAAACTAAACAAAACCCTCATATTACTATAATGGACCTCAATAGCACACTAAGAAACAATGGAGAAAATATAAATTTGGTGTGTCACACAGGCTGGATATTAATCATTTGCCTGTTTTTTTTTGAAACCTCAACTTTACCAAATTTGTATCTTGAGTCATTTATTAAAATTTATTTCTTAGATCTATGGAATATATAAAAATTGAAATGAGCTTGAGACATTTGTTAAGTCTGGCTATATGGAATTGAGGATACAGACATCAAGACTAAAGGGATATTTAAGGCTCAGAATCATGAAATCTTGAATTGTTCTTTTGTCATTATCTCTGCTAGACTCTTGAAATATTTTGCATTTTCCTAATAAAGACTTAGTAAGTGTATATTATAATCCTTTTCTTATAAAGGAAAGAATTGCAAGACAACCAGTTTATGTTATTTGTAAAGGTCTCACAAAGTTGCAGACAGATAATTCAAACTGAGGCTTATGAGTTTGTAAATCCTTAGGATTAATACCAAATCTATCTGTTTTCCAGATATAGATGAGGATCTTCTAGTTCCCTTTACTTGGTACTCAAGGAATCTAAAAAGAGAAACAAAATTGGAATTGCACAAGATGATTAGAAGAGAATGGAATTAGAAAGAGTCCTAAGGAGTGAGACAAAGCTTGATTTTAGAACAGTAGATAGAGAAAATTAACATGATTTTGGAATTATAATGCAGGTAGAATCATGGGATTTATACCAAAGAAGGGGAATGTCAAATTATTTAGAGTTCTTTGGAATGATAAAGCTAATGAATTGTCTAAGTAGGTGGTCTTGGGAGGACTGGGGTCCCAGCTTACTGAAGTAAACAGGGCTGAAGAAGGCAACTTTGAACTTACCATCCGTCCTGAAAGCCACATATGGTACCCAGTTGCAAAAGGTGAACATGTGAAGATTCCCATCCAAACATCAGTTGTTTAGCACCTGCTAAATAACAAGGGTCATTATAGTTATTTTCACAGGATTTACTTCATTAATTCTCAAATAAAACTATGTAGTAAGCAGTTAGTTAATCAAGTGTGGTGTTTTGGGAAGAGGATATAGAAAGAGATGTAGAGTATCCAGAGAGGAACTAAAATAAGTCAGAGTACAAATTTTGAATAATTTCTACATGTTTAGCAGTCTAAGCCAAGCACACTAAAGGATATACAAATACTAAAATATAATTTCCAACTTTAACAAGTATATTAGAAAGAGAAAAAGAACTAATAGATAAAAGAAAAAGATAAATTTGGGGATTATGTTGCATAGTACAAACTATAAATGTTACAAGTTTCAGATGAGAGACATCAGTGATTCCTGCTATTAAGGAAAGGGGATCCACAGAATCAGAAGGAGGAATGGTATTTGACTAAGTGCTAAGGAATACATAGAGCTTGCTTTATTTGTATATGAAAGAGGAAATGAATTGGAACATGGCAGTGCATGTGAAATTGATGTATTTATAAGACAGGATGAACTAAGATTGAAAAGCATCAGGAAATAAGAAACGAAATGCTTTTAATGTCACATTATAGGACACTTGGTCAGCCCAATAGAATTGATATTTGACAAAGTCATTGACGGATTTAAGTACAAGAAGGATAATAAGAAAGCATAATTTCATAATATATGATCAGGCAGAACTCTACTTAAGGGACTGATGATGAGAGAAAATTTGTGGAATATTGCTAATTTTGGCGTATGTAAACATAATTTTTAAGAAATGAAGGACAAACTTGAGAAAGTCATTATTCCTGGAGTGGTCATGGGAACTGTGATTAGGTGACTTATGAAATGGATGTTTCAACCCCAAATGCTACAAACTATCTCCAAATTGAGATTCAAGTAAGTTGTGAAATGTCATTGAGGTCTCAACTAAATGAAAATCAACAATGACTTAGGCAGGACTCACCTCCCAAAGCAGCACAGTAAGAGCTAGAATTGTATGTGTTCATAACCTAAATGAGGTTAACATTTTATTTTCCTTCATTAGATGACTTTTGATGTTATTTGATTTTTAGTTCATTTTTATTTTTATTCTTCAGAGACACTCCTCTAATGCAGAAAATATATAGGAGTCAGAACAAACTCCAAAGAAAAACTGCATGGACTCAAACCTAGTCCGTGCTACTTGGTGGAATGTGACTTTGTCATGTTGGTCAACCTCATTGAGTCCCTTCCTCCTTTGTACCATTAGGCTGGTAGTGGTAGGGTTGTGGAGTCAAAGAGTAGATAATCGAAGTACATTTGAAGTGCGTGGCCCTCTCTGTATTGGCACCTCTTCATGGGTGAATACATAGCTGTGCCCTATCTCTATTGTAACAGAAGAGTTTTGATAAAGATAAAACAAACATTTTCCCCTATATTAGCCATTGCACACCTGTTTGCCTTGCTTCTACTGTCTATATCATATGGATAATCTTATTAAATATTTTGTAGTGTTATATTGAAGATTGTGTTAAGATATTCTGTAGTACACACATAAAACAAGTTTGGTTCAGTGTTCTCTAGGTTCTAGGAACTATGATAGATTTTGAGGATGTAGCAGTAAACAAAATATGCCTGGTGCTTACCCTCATGAAGCCCAGACCAAATTTAAGCAGAGCTTATCTCTAGTCAACAGTGTACAGTCAGAAAAAAAAATAGTTATTGTTGTTATTATTATTAAAAGAGAAGAAATGGAATATGATTAATACCTACAGTTGTAGTTATGCTTCTGTATTTAATATGCCTATGTAATTGGTCCTATGAAAGATTATAATAATAAAATGTATTGTTAGGTTTACATAGGCTGGAAGTGTGATTCTGTGATACAGAATAATATACTGAGGGCCTCAAGTAATGTTGACAATATAAACTCTTTGTAGTTAAGGGACGGGGGGATACAATAAAAACATGTCTTAACATAGTTAAATCAAAATGATTGGCTAAATGGCAATACATGTAAGATGAATTTCATGCCTACTATTGCAAAATGTATTTTATTTTTATGCATATATATTTCAATTAACATATAAAATTGTACTTATTTGTGGGGTGCTATGATACTTCAATACATGTATATATTATGAAATGTTCAAATCAGGCTTTTCATTCTGTCTTCAGATATTTGTCTTTTTTATGGTGAAAATATTAAAATATTTTCTTCTAGATTTTTTTTAAATATAAATTTCTTTACCATTGCAATAGAACAGCAGCAACATATTTCTCCTGTATATCTGTAGTTCTGTACATCAATAGATGAATGGAGTTTTAAGAGTGTGACATATGTGTGTGTGTATATATATACACACACACAATGTAATGCTATTCAGATTTGCAATTTACATGTAGGAAATGTTCTAGTTCTCCAATTTGCGAGAAAATTTCCAATGAATCTATTGTGAATAATACCCCTTAACAATGGTAAAAAAGAGAAATTATAGTACCAAGAGAACCCAAGATACTAGAAGTTTAGACAGATATACAACATTTGTCTAAAAGTGAAATCTTTCAGAAAGCATTCTTGTACCCATTTCATTTATTGCAATTTAGGTCACTTTATGTATTTGATGGAATTCCCTTTGAATTCAGTAATGGAAATTTTGACCTATTTCTCAGAATTTGCTGAAGTCTGGAACATGGACTTTCTTCTTAATCTACAGTAAACTAAAGCCCAGAATCTATGATGTAGCCATGTAATAACAAAAATGGGTGACACAACATTTACAGAATGAATTTCAGAAAGACTTCTGAAAAGCAAATGAAAAATGGTTGGAGCCGTAAGGTAGGAGAGGAAAGAATTAAGTAGAATGACTCTTGCCATAAAATGAGTTAACTATTTAAGAAAAAAATTAAATAAATATAGGCACGTTACTCAACTTTCCTGAGCCTGTTCCCTCATCTATAAAATGTAATAATAGACATTACTTTATAGAAATAAGACATGGTTAAACTTATGCACATACATATACACTTGAAACACATTGAGCTATCATAATAACAAACACTATTTAAGTGTCTCATGGGGATGATGATTCCCAGATATAGCAAAATTGGTGTTTCTCTACCCACTACTTTTTTAAGTTTCTGATTCAATTATCAAACATTATTATGATTCCCTGCAGAGCAAATTTTTGTTTGTTTGTTTGTTTTTACTGCCTTATATACACCATCAACAAACATTTGCCTTTAAATCCCCACTGCCTTATACTTTCATACCTTGCCAGAAACATGGTATGTGTGTTGAGTTGAATTCTTGATGTACAATATTTATCTCAATGAAAAAAAAATGGTGTTTATCCCAGAGTAGACCTCTTTATTCATTCCTAGAAATAATCTTGTTATTTAAAAAGATGACAGGTTTCTAAGCATTGCAAATAGGCCTCTGTAAAGATTTCTTAAAGAGTTACTGGTAGTATCTCGGGAGACAGAAGCTTGGAATTAGCAAAGCTGAGCTTGATGCAAGCATCAGTAAACTGCAGACAGCATACATAATTAGGCTAAACAGAGAAAAAAATGAAAGTCTATGTTTAATGATGGGAGTGCCTAGTCCCTGGACTTGCCATAACCCTGGGGAGAGTTACCTTCTGATTACTGGAAAGCTGTGGAAACTGTTTGAGGTAAATGTATCAAATTGTCATACTTGTCTGAATCAATCCATGAAACATTCTAGTCACTCTGATTAGCTGGTATGCATACAGAAATAGATGCAAGTACTTCCAAGCAGATTCAATTCCATTGATGCTTCTTCTCCCACTCTTTTAGCTTCCTTAGGATAAAACACTTTTAGGTTTGGGGCAAAAGCTAGTAAATAAGTATCTTCTTTTAATACATTGTTCATATGGCTTCATTTTCTCTATGTCTAAAGGAAACAGAAAGAAGGCCTAAGGTTTCATTTTTCTCACTTGCTCAGAATTTTTTCTCCTAGACTTCTGAGAGAGGCACCAGTTTCTACAGAAATGTCTTTTCTGTGAGGGAACATTTATTAAAGTGTCTTTTTGGTCTAGCCTTGTCACTATTAATGGCATAGACCTGCTGTCAGACAAGAATAAATTCCTTCTCAGGTAACCTACTGGGACTATTCAAAGCCTGCCCTAAACGTGTGAAAAAGAACAAATAATACAGAATAATTTGAATTGCTGCATGAGAATCAAGAAAAATTAAAGCTTAATCAAAGAATTATCAAATTAATTAAATGTTATTTACTAATGTGTCATGTTTTGCAAAAATGTCATCTTTCAGCTTATAAGAGTAAGAATTAAAAAGGAATTCTAGTGATTTATGTGAGTACATCCCTCCAGTGTTGTGACCTTAGATACAGTGAATTAAAAATACCCAGTATAAGACTCTAACCATTCAAATAGATGTTCAATTCTTATCCCTTTTCTTAAGAAATCCTTATTTTAAATGTGGAAATAATGCATAGAATTCATAGCTGCTTATATATAGCTAACTATTTTCAGAGAGGTCTATTTGATAAGCAAATCTTTTTTTTTTTCCTTAGCTTTTTTTTTTTTTTCCTATATAGCATTTTTATGTTTGCATGAGATTAAGATAGTTTTGTAAGAGTAACTTTAGTGTTAATGACTTTAGGGTGTTCAGCTAGTTGCTCAACATTTTTGAGTAGCTCTATAACTTCTGTCCTAGCTTAATATATTTTATATTTTAGTTTTCTAAAATATGCTATGATAAGGCATAATACTGTTATTTCCACATAGTAGTACTAATTACCCCAAATTTGGAGGGCAATTTGTTTTGCCTATCTATATCTTCATCAACATCCATGTTTAGATGTTCAAAGTCCTTTGATTAATCAATTTCCCAGCAGTTGCTGAATCTCTATTACGTACTAGATGCTAGTGGTCATAACATGAGCTTCAAAGGAGAAGGTGATAACAACTCAATCAAAGATTATTGCAAATAAAGCAATGAACTATATAAAGCAGTGAAGGTAGAAAAATGAA